TCAGACGACGAACTCGGGGACTTCGTCGTGGGTAAGATCCAACGAGAAGTATTTGCTGGTTCTTTTGACGGGGAAGGTCTCCTGGATGTTGATGCACTGCTGGGCCAAGCAGCCGTTGCAGTAGAGCCCGTCCTCCTCCAGCCCGTGGGCACAGCCGAAGGTGTAGCTCTGGGCCGTATCCTGGCACAGGTTGGCCCGCTGTAAGAAGTCCTTCTGGTAGAGCCGAATATCATCCAGGCTCAGGCTGTGTCGGTCCGTCGATGTCTTTGGTTTCCTGCACGTCGTCTGGGCAAAGCAGAGAAGAGGCTCAGGACCCGTCGGGGTGCCAAGGGAATCGGGGGAAACCCCAAAACCCCCATCCCAGGTTTCACCAAAGCCCCACCAGCACCACGAACCTGGGGTAAGGAGTCGGTGCTCTGCCCTCGCAGCTTCACCACCGTCTCCGAGGAGCTGGAGGTGGAGGAGCTGATCTCTTTCACGATAAGCCCTGCGCGAAGGAGAGAGGAAGAGGAGGGTGCGGAGGTTATTTCGAGGCTTCTCGGCTCTCTTGGCATCCGTGCCGGCTGCCCCTGGGGCCTTGCCCATGCTTTGGGGCCAGGGCACCCTCAGCTCGATGGGGCGTCTTCGCCCCAACGGCTCCACTTGCAACCAGCGTTACCTGCAAAGTATCCCAAATTTGCACCAAAACGGCATCCAAAGCCGTCCCCAGGGAGCCTGGCACCCTGGAGACCTCCCAGTAGCTCCCAGCACGGAGCTGGAAATGAGGGTAACTCCCTGGGTGGAGGCACAGCTCTGGAGAAGCCAGGCTTACACGTGTGGTTACAGCACCCGTGCTCGTGGGACCAAGCGAGCGGTTGTCATGAAAACGAGAGCGGGAGCCAGCAAGTGAGAACATCACCAAAATGATGTCCATCACCTGCGGGCAGCTCCTGCCCTCATCCCCTGGTATCTCCAAATAACCCGGAGTGCCTGGGCACACAGCCCTGTCCCACGGGGCGGCTGCATGGAGCATCAGTCCTGCTCCGAGTAAAACCTGCACCTTTCCTGGGCAACCCCTTCTTTTTATGGTTTCATCAAATTTACCCCATCTCGCCTTCAACGCACCAGGCGAACAGCTTTTCCCGGCATCCCAAATGGACTCTTTGGGCTAATTTTGCTCTGCCGAACACTAATTTGCATTGGGGAATTGGAAATAAAAATAAAAAAAGAAATTGGGGAATTGGAAGTAAAAGCGGCCACCGCCTTACCCGAGTGCCCGTTGAACTTGCGCGACAGCAGCATGTCCTCCGTGATGTAGACGCACATGTCGGGGCTCACCTCCATCTCGCCAGCCTGCTCCAGCTCCCGGGGGTCATCCACCAGCATCTCGATTTCTGCAGGTGAGGAGGACGTGGGACAAGTCATTGACGTGCACCTTCAGAGCACCCTCCAACCCCAATTACCTGGTGAGACCCAAGCTGGAAAGCCCACGTTCAGCTGGTATCTCACCATCATCCTGGGAGTCCTCCTCCAGCCGGTCCTTCCCACCGCTCTCCACCCCGGAGGTGTGGGAGCTGCCATGGCTGGG